CGCCGGGCGCTGTCCGCGTCCTGAAATCCCGATGCGCCGCCCTGTGACCGGGGGCCCTGGACTCGCTCCGGGTCTCTAGACGCGATCAAATTCCAGTCGCGACCTGCTCTCCGGGGGCTGAGGGAGCAGGCGTCCGCCCCAGTCACTTCCCTCGGTGTCTGAGAGCGAGGCCCTCTCGGCCCGTGTCCCCGATTGTCGCCTCCTGTGCGCAGAGTGCAGCCCGGGCGGGAGCTCACTACCCACCTGTGCCACTGCGAGCGCCTCCCCAGCTCTGGGACGGCAAGTCCGCGCCTATATAGGGCGCGCAGAAAGGCACTTTATTTACGGAGCAACAGGGACACCTCGGTCCAGAGGAAGGACACTGTCTGCGGTCTTCCCCCGCTTCCTACTGGGAAAGGAGCCCTACCCCACCCATGTGCCTTCCCTCCCTGAACCCCGAGGGCCGAGACTCTCACTGGCTGTCCCAGGCCACCTGGATCCCTCATGGCTACGGCAAGGGAGGGGCGGGCTGCACCTGCGCGGCTCCTTCTCGAGGACAGGGTCAGCGGGCCCAGAGAGCGTACCTTCCCCGGAGCCCCACTGTCCTGAGTTGCTGCGCTCCGGCCGGTGGGAGGGGGTCCCTGGTGGATCTCGGGTACATTAACCAGGCTTTGGGTTTGTACAGTGTTTTAGGAGTACTCAGTGGGTGTGATTATAGAGATCATGATTTACTCACCGATTTTAGATCGCTCGTTATATTTCACAATCAAAATCCGATGTCCAGTGGCCCTTTTCTTACCTGACCCTGGTTCTTTATTTCTTCTCGTTCATCTGTACAATCAGGGAAGGAATAAACTGGACTAGACAGGAATCGAGACAAGAAGAGGGAGAGGGAGTCAGATCTGTCCGACCTCATCAGGGTTTTGTCTTCTGTTGGGATAAATTTTGATAAAATTAAAGCGTGGTTAAGATGAAACGTGGAGGGGAGGCTTTGGTAAATTAGGACATTCTCACTTGATTGCTAGTGTTCTGAAGTAAATACAGAAGAGCTCCAAAATATGGACCTTCAGGACATAGACCTTCAGTTACCCAATTGGAAAATACAAAGTCTATATTCTATAAACTCCAGGAAACAGAAATATTCTCAAGAGAAACCTACTGCAAATCCTTAGTCAATGTGTTGTAAGCATGAGTGTTTTTCTGAGAAATAAATGAATCAACTGCTTTCAATAGGATTTGCATGGCTTCTTAACCTGAAGAGGTTATAAACCAGCTTGGCAAGCAGGACTCATGCCTAGAGTGTCAAGTTTAACATCGGCTTGGACAACGTAGTGAGATCCTGTCAAAGAGTAGACAGACAGACAGAGACAAACAGATAGCTGAAATGGACTTAGGAAATTCAGGACATAAACTTCAGAATTCTTATCTGCTTACAGAGAAGAGAGGAAAACCCTCTTGTGTGTGTTGTGTTTGTGTGTACAACACACCAGTGATTCTTAACTACAGCGTTCTCCCACCTGGGCACCCAGTGGAGATGTTTTTTGGTTGTCACAACTGGATGAATACTACTGTCCTGAGAGGCAGTCTGTCAAGGTCAGTGGTGCTGCTAATCATCCTGTAATGGAGTCTGTCATCCTTCTAAGGCTTTTTGTGTGATTCAAGGTGTGCATTATTAATAATTGTAATGTGTATTAAACTTGCATCTTTCTGTACATAGACGTGTATATGCATGTATCACATGTAGCATACTATGGTTGGATGTACAAGTATAACTCAACGCCATTGAAATAGAGGCCTGTATTTGTTGCACAGTGGATTTTGCGTTTACCCCTCTATACCCTCACATGACTCTCTCTCCCATGAATATTCCTTGATGCTTTCAGTCAGAGTTAATCCAGTCCCTTTTCAGGATTCTCTTGGCACCTTATCTGATCCTCTCTTAATATGTCTCTTGCCAGGTGTGGTGGTGCTATAATCTCAGCATTTGGGAGGCTGAGGCAGGAGGACTTCAGTGAGTTCAAGGCCAGCCTGGGCTCCATAGGGAGTTCAAAACCAGCCTGAACTATATAGCAAGACATTGTCTCAAAAACAAAAAGATGCCTCTCCCTATCTACCTTAGTATTATGGTTTCATTTACAAATTTACCTCCCGCATACACAAAAACTTCTTGACAGCAATCAGTATACTCCCCTCCAGCCATTATTATGATCTACCATGGCCTACAAACAAACACACTTTTTAAACTAAAAATTATATTACATTTGTTCTACCTACAAAATGTTTCTTCACTTAAGACTATGGAGTGGGCAGATTTGCAGGTTGGTGGGTGTGGACCTTGGCCAGTGGCTGTCAAGGAGCCCTGTGAATCAGTTCATGTACACAGCTGCCCAGAAGCTCACCTGGATGAGCTAGTGCTTTTAAAAAATTAATTTAGAGACATTCTGTGCAAATATAACCAACAGCCTTCTCTAACACGGACTTTTTCTTGTCTCTTTGCCATTTGAACATTTTTGGTCGAGTCCAGCCAGCCCTGTGGACCACTTTGCACTGGAACTTGGTAATTGTTTGGTGGTGACAGTTACTCAGAGGATTGAGGACTGGGGTAGAGGTAGCAGGACAGAGGAGAAAACAGACCATGGCAGAACACCAGGAATCAAAGATGTAGCTTCCCTCAGAGACTAGGCAGAACTCTTCCATGTGTGTCACTGCGTAAGAATTTAGTTCAATAATCACATTATAATATGTTCTCTGTGGGCCGGGGATTTGGCTCAGTGGTTCTGCCACCTGCCTTGAAAGCACAAGGGCCTGAGTTCAATCCCTGGTATATAAAAAAAAAATTCTCTGTGGATCTGAATGAAGATATTACTTTTTTCTGTTAAATGCCTTTCCTATAGCCAAAATAAATGGTGACTAGACAAAAAATAGTATGTCCATTATAGGAGTCTATGAAGTAAGCATAGAAAGTATTTTCTCATAGGTAAAACAACAGAGTCCCTGAATTTGGCCGACTTTTAAAAACAGAGAAGAGTAGGATCTGATAGCAGCTTGCTCTCCCCACCCCATCCACTCAGTATGTTAAACATCTCAGTCGCTCACGCAAACTTCCCAAGTCAAGCTTCACCTGTTTGGCACAGAGGTGAGTGGTTCTTATATATCAGAATTTAATCACCTCCGAGACTTCTTCCCAAAGAAATAACTGTGTCACTTCAAAACAAATGTCAGGGGTGGGGATTTGGCTCAGTGGTTCCACCGCCTGCTTCACAAGTGCAACAGCCTGAGTTCAATACCCAGTACCAAAAAAAAAAAAAAAAA